TTATTACTATTACTATTATTATCATTGTTACCATTATTGTTATCACAATTATTAATATAAAATTGTTGTTATCAGTATCATTATCACTGTTCTATTATCATAAGTGTTTTTGTTTTATCAGTACTGTTATTATTATTACTATCATCATTATTATTGTCATTATCATTATCACTATTATCATTATTATTATAATCATCTTTAATATTATCATTGCTATTATTATTGTTATTTTTATCATCATTCTTTTGTTATCATTGTTTTCTTGCTATCTATATTTTCGTTATATCATTACTGTAATAATCATGGATATCATCATACCATCTCTTGTTACAGTTAGGATATGTCTTTTCAGTGCAGTCTTTTAATGATTTTAATGGAAAATTAAGAATTCACAAGATAATCGTACCATTATTATACGCTCTGACTGATAAAGTAATGATAACAGTGATATGAATCATCACCATTACTGAATTTTGATAAAGATAAAGACTGAAATATAAATCCATGTTGCCCAGAACTAAAAGCGGTCATAACAATTAGTATAAAAAGAAAAAGATATTATTCTCCCCGCGCATGTTAATTTCATCGTTCCACTACTCACGTGTTTAATGTGTTTAATTCCCCGCGCATGACGAAAAGCGGTATGACGTTATCGAAAACTATATATGGTCATGTACAGATGTGAGTCATGTGGCCAAGAGGGATTTTATTAACAAACTAGACATTATGTGGCTGTATGCTGACTTGCATAGATTTATGTTAGTATGTGGTATAACTTTAAAGAGGTAGGACTGCTAAGGGACCGATGGGCCTTTAATAAGTAAGGGAAACCAGAGAAGGGAATTGGGGGAGCGGAAACCCTGGGGGAAACGAGATTATAGCGTGTCTAATACCATTTAATTGAGTTTTGAGTACTTATTTGTAACCTTTTTCGGATAGCTGTAGGCGTGAGGAAATGTAATTTAACAGCTGGGAATCACATTCTTATGAAATGAGAACTGCTTCGAACATATAAACGTACATATCTTGGTAGGGTTACTTTAGCACAGCAGTAGTTCCACTTTATAAATTCTTGTCCCGTTTTGTTATACTCTTTGGCATCGGTGACTCCTGGGGCTTTTTGTTCCCCGGAGTGTAGAAAAGTTACGTTTCTGGCAAAGTCATGTTGAACTCCTGAAAAAAAAATTACAGTTTGGCGTGGAATTCACTACAGTATAGGTTTTACGCTTTTTATGAGATTATTATTACTGTTATTTTTATTATTATTGTTTATTTTTATTTGTTATTTATCCTATTTATTTATTTTATCTTATTTGCAGTAGAGAATAAAACGAGCGAGATCCTTCTTCCTTTGAGAAAACGTTGAGATGAATCATTAAAGTAATTAATCCATGAACGGAAGAGTAAATAAGCAAAATGAAGAATCAGTGAGTTAATAAGAAACCCTGAAAATGTAGAAAGGATATATAAAGGGATTTATCAAATGAAACATGTGTCGAAGAGGTAACTTTATTCAGGATATTGAATGACAGACTGTAATACTCTTAGATAATAGATATATATTAAAAATCACATATTAGAAAATCATATTTGTGGGATACAGACAGACAGAAATATAAGACCAGGGGTGTCAGAATCACATACACTAGTGCCTGCCTGATGCAACGTGAGTACGCAGTTAACGGGTCAGATAACACTACCATGATCATGTCTCAGTCACCTTAAAGGGGAGGAATATGGCACAGTGAAAAGGTGCATATTTAAAAGAATCGGTTGGTATAAGTCATATTTTTGAAAGATAAAAGGCCACTTAATTCGTGCAAATCGAAGGATATGGCGGAAGCAGGAAAGCGACCGTGGGGCCAAAATATGTCGGACAGTATTCTTGACACCCCTGCCTAAAAAAAAAATCATAATACTTATCACAGTAATCATTTTTAAAAAGGAGATACAAGGAGATAGGTAAAATTAAAAACAAGGGAATATCACAATGACAATACTTAATTACAGTTCCTAATCTAAATGTTAAAGGACTTGTAAGAAACATTTTGCCTCTACGACTTCTTATATGGTCTTGAGGTATATTTTGGCGAGCAACATTCATCAAGATTTCCCTTGTTAAGTTGCTTTCTCGTACTCCGATTAGAAAGCCAACGGAAATAATTATATATTAGGTAATTAAAAAGCTAAGTATATAGAAAACAATCTTGTAATGTAAAACGTGAAGATTTCTCGCCAAAAATGCACCTATATTTACATTAATATTTCTTCATTATTTTCAAAATTTAGGTAAAATAAAAATTGAAAATAATGTTTGGTGCTTAAATTGAATCCACTTCACAATGCTGTTCTCCGTAAACTCTCTCTCTCTCTCTCTCTCTCTCTCTCTCTCTCTCTCTCTCTCTCTCTCTCTCTCTCTCTCTCTCTCTCTCTCTCTCTCTCTCTCTCTCTCTCTCTCATTCAGCCGCAAATCCTTCTCCTTCCTTCCACTTCCCCTTCA